GTACCTAAAGAAAACTCGTTTGCCTTTGGTCAGATATTCGTCGTCATGATGGCTTGGACAACTACTTTAAAGTCGACTTTAAGTGCTAGCCGACGTTCTGACTTAGTTCTGAGTCATTGCATCATCGATATCCACCCCTATCAATTTAAATTCAATTTTTAAGGCACACGAGGCCATCAAGTAAGTAGATGAGGTGCACATGCCCTTGTTTGTACAGTTTTCGAGCTACCTAGGCAGGTATCGGCTGAAACATTGAAATCCAAGTAAATGAATGCGATGGGCGTTGTATTGGAAGTGTCATTTCTGAGGTTGATAATCCAATGTGGACGTCTACCCAGCGGAAACAGGTACTAACCAAGTATGCATGAATTTCGGAGATGGGACTAGGGGGTTGGTTATTGTTAAGTCTGGCTAAATCGTCATTTGTAGAGCATGTAAATTTATGAATTCTTTATGGTCTCGAAGGAAAATGGACTTCGTGTCTCTGCCGTACTAAAATAATCTTATTAATGTGCGAAATTTACAACTTTTTTACACATTAAATGACTGGGGCTGTATGCACTAACATATTAGTAAATGTAAGCCACGGGGGTAGAGTGAATGATTTTTATTGACATGAAAAAGCACTGTGCCTAGTAATCGAAGCAAACATAACCAAGTTGGCTGGGCGGGTAAATAAATACAAGTGTGGTTAAATTCGGAACTTTGTCCTGCCTTCGTAGCTCAATGGTAAAGCGTTGACTACGCGAAAGCCTCTTCGGAGTGTGGGTTCGAATCCCACCGAGCTGGCGAATTTTTCACGATTGGATTAATTAAATTATTCAAAATTGCCAAACCCCCTAATAAATTCAACGTTAACTTTACTGCAATTCAAAATTTGCCCAGAGGTCTTTCTTGGCACTTAAGCGGATATTTGTAACCCGTGCGAAAAACCTCCAGCACAATTAATACGGCTAGACCCAAAAAATACAGAGAAACGTGGAGAAAATCCTTATTAAGGATTCTTCCTTTTCACTTTTTCTCAGTAAGCTTTATTATTTGCTATTTTGGCCCCCGCCCGGCAATAAGGTTTAAATAGACAGAAGGAGTCGACTATTTGGAAAATTAATGATTAATAATTAATGACTACTCAAGCCTTTACCTGAGAACCAGGTTTCGCAAAGACCCAATAGAATAATATGAGATTATACGAATGGATATATTTTAAAAGCCACCAACCCTTAGAGAAACCGGACCGAAAAAAGCAAAATAGGGCACCCATGCCTGTCAATTTTGTCACGCAATCTTGGTCCTTAAAATCTCGTCAAGGATTTTCTCCCTTTCCGTGACAGCTCTTTTCTTTTCCCCTACATTGTGATTGCCTTGATGCTTTGTCTGGGTCCGTTTTGAATCCACCACCGTTTGCTTCCGTGGCTTAAGAGGCACTGTCGGTTTCTTCGCCAGTCCTTCAGTTCTGGCTGCAGTAGTGGGCTCACCGCCACTTTCCTTCCCCCTTCTCCCCCACCTTCCATAGTCTTCTTTAATCTCTTCCTTCCCGTCCTCATCGTAGTCACCGACGTCCACGAAACCGTCCCCGTTCCCCAAAATATTCACGATAACTCTCGTGTTCACAGCAGTGTTGGCAGCTGACAACCCTGTTGCTGGTTTCACCCCTGAGGGATCACTCAGATTTCTCGACTTGGAGCAATTAGCGGCGTTCAGTGGAAGGTTAACCGCAGTCAGGAAAAAGAACTTGAAGAGTCCGGCCAGGGTCTGGCGACTACATCGCATCAGGCAGCGGTCATCACAAATGCG